TTCCCTTCTGAACGACATCTCCAGCAGGCTTTTAATGCTGTACGTGCAGAAACTGCACGGCTGAGTCAGAGCAAGATGAAGGTGCAGAACTGGGTATCTTCTGCCCCCCAAACCAGGGCAAAGCTGTGTAATGATGCTGAATAATAATAGGTGCCAATTGGGAGCTTGCCTGAGGAAAGTCTGCAGATGTAGAAGTTTGCCCTCGTAGATCGGCAGACTCAGACAGGGACAGGATAACTGTAAGCAAACAGGGCAAGCCACTTCAGCGAGCCAAAAGGAAAATAAAAAATATCATTCATTTATGTACAGTGTCATGGAAAAGACAGGCTGGGACACTTTACCCTCACTGCTGTCTTTTATAATGTACTGGTGGCCTTTTGGAGGCACGTACGTGGCTAATTGTAATGAGTGGTATCTTTTCCATTGTGGTTTACTCCATTTGGTAGTGGTATTTACAGTAATTTTACACATCGAAATGGGAGATTATCTCCATTTCAGCTGGGTGTCCCTTCCACCTCCTGACGGGGTTTTAAGCTAGGTAATCTTGCATCAAGTAACCTTTTTGGACACAGCAAGTGCATGTTTATTAAGAGAATTAGGGATTATGTTGAGTCAATCTGTATTGTTTTGTGACCTTATTATTTTTTCTAAAGCATTCTTAAGAGAAAAGCATAATATTGGATGTGTAACATGTGCACGCATGCCACACAAGTCCCCTACTGACCAGATGTTTCGAGAAACATGCATGAGTTGTAGGCTACTGGGATGCATTAATTGTGGATTTTGCAAGATCATTCAATGATGTACATAATGCCATGGATACTATTTACAAGCGAAAATAGATATATGAAGTTTAAACTCAATCCGGCTATTCCAGAGCACACCAATTGTTAGAAATAAACAACAGCCAGGGCACTTAAGCTGACACTTAACTTTAAGCATGTACTTAGCGCTGAGTTCAATAGAGCGTTAACACACTTCTTGCTGAGTAAAGATGATCGTAAGTATATCCTAATATCCAAGCATATGCCTAAGTGCTTGGTTGAATCTGGGCCAACATTTCACTTCTCCTCGGACACCTTAACGTATTTTTAGTTGTAGTTGCCATCTAGTAGAATAAATGAAATGGTGTCTCTCCTTCCTTACTGGGGTCTCTTTGGATAAGCAACACACATCTTTAATGATTGCTTTTCCTGAATCTCCATAATTTTAACATGTAAGGAATGAAAATGAATGTAAAGATCACACTTTTAACCACGTGGGGATCCTGCAGCTCTCATTAGTCTTTTGCTGCTTGATTTATACGTTGATTTTAGGATCAGAACAGGTTACTAGTTGTCTGTCTCTCTATTGTTATAAATCTAGTTTTCCATAATATTTTACTTGTTGGTCCATGGGGAAAATGTTCCTTTATTGTGTTTCTTCTTTTCAACAGGGCATCACCTGTGTTGGGGGCATCAGGCACAGGCATGTTAGGAGAGAGCACTTTCCACAGCTAACAGCATCCTTTATATGACATTTTGCTGCAAGAAGAGGAAGCATGGAAGATGGGCTTGAGCTAGCAGGTCCCCCAAGTGCCCCTTGTCCCTCAGCTGGAGCTCTGCACTGAGTCTAGGCAGTTTCTAAAGTGGCTTTTGAGTCTGGCTCCGTGGTGCATCCTGTCACCTGGCGGTCATGCCCCTCACCGGAAGAACATACATGGAAAAAGCTGAGGTAATCTCTCTTTCTATCCTACAAAGCCCTTTTAGATGTCCTCCACCTGGTAACTCTGAGCATGTCCTGCCAGGGCACTGGCTCCCCACAACTCAGACTCAAGTTAATGGGAATTGAAGGTGCTCCAATCCAGGCTTGACAAGGCCCATAAACTATCCAAGAAAGCCCTTCATTTCCACCCTCTGTATTTTCCGTGGGCAGGGATCAACTGTTTTCTTAGGTGTGGCGTTTTTGAAGGAGTTGGATTTGAGAATAGCCTCATGTAGCACAGGTCATGAGCAAGGAGCTGAGAGTTCATGAACTGGGGAAGCCAAAGGTAGATCTGGGCCCCAGCTGCAGACAGGGGAGCCGGGACCACGAGTGTCTGAAGTTCAATGCTTCTGACTGGGGGTGAAATCCCAGCCCCATTGAAATGAGGGGGGATTTTGTCAGGCTTGCTTTCCCCTTCAGGTTTAGCTTGGGATCCTTTCTTGGGTAGAGAGAGGATGGAGGTACTAACCGAGTGGAAACAGCTTGGTTTTACAGGAAATCTTCCCTCCTGTTTCCAGTGCTGCAGTTTGGTTTGCATATCCATTTTGAGCATGCCTTGACCTGGAGAGATGTAGATAGACGGTGGCAGGCACTGGAAAATACCTGCACTCAGAGAAGATCTACTGCTACTGGGGCCACAAAACGAGCATAATAGACCAAAACCCCAACAAAACCAAATGCAGGCACAGGTCAAGCATGTCCTTGTGAAGTCCCTGATTGAATAAAAAAACCCCAAACCAGTAAAGGCCTCAGGGCCTGGACTTTTGTGCTTGTTTTCTTGCAAGTTACTGTTTCTTGGGGGAAAAAAGAAAAGTCCCCAGCAGACCCCAGTACCTGGGGGAGTCCCGGCTTTGGTGTACGCTTGTGATTTATGGGGTACTTGTTAAAACCACTTGTTCTTGTCAAAACAAAACAGATTGAAGGGAGTTTGGGAGACGGTCTCCTTCTAGTTGGCACTTCATCATGGCTTCTTACTCTTTCCTAGGTTCTGGAAGTTTACAGTTATATAAAACTTAATGAATCAGTATACTTTAGATTTCCGTCCTAATACATATGGGTTCAATTAACTGTGCCGTTTGCTTATTTAAGCGTTTTCATTAAATTGCTTTACTATATTTTCCCGCAATTGAAAGGGAGCATGGTGGAGATTATGCCATCCGCCACCATCAGTTCTGCAGGGCTTTTTTCTTTGTCCAAACCCACGTTTGTTAGTATAAAAGACCCTTCCCCCCAATGTTTCGCTGCATGCCATGCATTTATTGCATTCTCTTCTACTCCAGATCTATAAATAAAAGGCCTGTGTGGGGGAACCTGTTGCAGTGTCTTTTGTAAACAGCCTTTTAGAGAAGAAAGTTGTGCTTTGTGCCCCCCTTCCTCAGCCTGCGCCCACAGTTCCTCCTTGCTCTAGCTCTACTGCCTGTATTGCACCTTCGAAAGTCCTGCTGCTGAGTTTGAGAGTCTTGTCAAATCCCAACAAAACCCTTTGCCTTTTCTTCAGACCCTACAGGGTTTTTTTTAGAGGAGCTATAAGCATAGCATTGTGCAGTGAGATTCCCACTACTTCTGAGTCATCACTTCTGGTCTGATGTCCACGTCTGACCTAGCATTTCCCAGTCCCTCTCTCCGACTCAGCTGCTGATACCAGTTGACTTCTGTCCCCTCTGGCTGGTCTAATTGTTCATTTAAAGTTGCTGAATAGCACCAGTTTCATCAATAGACCCTAATGGGACTACTCCAAGAGTGGGAGTCTACTAACTTGGAGTACGTTGGAATAATGAGGTGGGATCCTGTTCTCTGTGTTTTCTCTGAAATGCCCAGTTGATATAAATTAATGAACGATAATAAATTAGGCCCATTTGACATATGGGAAAGCTCGTCCTTCTGAAAAAGTCTTACAGATTTCATCCCTATGAAATTCTGTAGGTTACTGTAGGAATGTAGTTAGGTTTTTATGGAAATGACTTAAAAACCCTATAAAATGGAACAGTGCATGAGTTTCACTATTTATTTGTTTTAAACTCTCACATAGTTTTATTACAGGGATACAAATGTCTGTCAGCTTCTCTAAGACAAAATGGATAAAAATGTTATGAAAGTGAGTCACCTCTATTAGATCCCATTGGCTTTTCCCTTAAGAGGAGGTCGGGAGAGAGTAAGTGACTTGCCCGGAGTCACATGGCAAGTCTGTAGCGGAGCCTGGAGGAGACTGTTGTCTCTCGGCGTCGTGCCCTCAGGCCTCTGATCACCAGCGGGGCATGGGGAGGCAGTCACTAGTGGTCCGTCACCCACCGGTGATTAAAGTAACCGGAAAACTGAAATTTGTAGCGAGAAACCCACATATAATCAAACAACCAAACAGCCTTCCCCCCCCTGCCGCGTGTCCTTTCTTTTGACTGACACATTTAGTGCAAATGGAACTGAAAAGTTTTATTTCGATTTTACGCATTTTTAGCCAATGTCGCATGTGATGGAAGGGGAGTTCAAAGCTCAAAGCCAAGGCAGATCTGCCTATTTCATTTTGATAATGGCAAAAGAAAAGGGCTAGACCTCGGGCTATTCCCCCCTCCCTCCCCAAATATAAAAAGTAATGAAGCTGCTACAGATTCACAAGACATTTCAGTGCCCAGCCTGCCTTTGGTGACCAATGCCCCCCTTCATTTTTCCAAAAAAATCCCCCCATCTTTGCTAGTAACTAACCTCACTGTCCTTCCCTGCTCAGCTCCCTTTACTCTGCGCACCAGCCTAGCAAGAACAACCCACAGTGACGGCTGCTGCATTGCTTACAGCGCTGGGATCCTGCTCCGCAGCGAGCAGTCCTGCTCCTGCTCCACAGTGAGCAATCCTGCAGGATCAGGCTCCAGAGTCATTTAAAAGCTACCTTAGCATCAGTGAAGAGCACAGGCTGCGGGAGTCTCCCTCTGAGCAAGGGGTTCTTGGCAGACCTGCCCTCTCAAGCCCATCTTCAGTGGGGGGGTTTTTCTTCTTCCAGCAAGGCATAAAATAAATGGAGGCCAGGAGCTGTGGAAAATGTTCCCTGAAAACATGCCTGTTCCTGATGCCCCCAAAACGTAGAAATTCAGTTGTGTATTAAAAAAAAAAAGAAAAGAAAAGAAAAGTCCCAACCCTTCCAAGACACTAAAAATAGACTCTGATCACTTACCAAATGGTAAAATGAAAATGATTTGCTTTGAATAGTCTCCAGAAAGGCTCAGATACAATGTCTTGTGGAGCAAAATTGAATCAGTTGAAAGTGCAGACGCCAGCTCAGCCTAATCCCTCCCAGCTGCTTTGCTTTGCTTTTTTTCCAACAAGCAGCCCCTAAAAGTCTTCTCCCTAATCCTGCAAACTGAAATTCAATCTTCTATTTTTTTTTAAATCAAGTTTCAAGCCTGGGGCTTGGAGGGGGGCATGGGTGGGGGGAGAGTGGGGGGACGGGACTTCAGTTCAGTAAACAAAGCCTTGAATTCAAGGAAAGCGTTTAAAATACAATCTGCTTGGCCTGAGCCTAGCACACAAATCTGGTGTCTTTAAAGCCCCTGCAAACAGACAGTAGATGACTTTGAGATTCTCCCTAAGTGACTGTCTGGTTGCTGCCTTTACGCTGTCACTGTTGATTGCGGGGCCTAATAGACTTTGTATCTGCCTTTTTGTGCCTGCTTTTATCTGGGAATTTCGGTGGAGCATTTACCTAACGCAAAGCCCAAGACAAACAATTCCCAGTGCGCGACTGGGGCTGGGAACCCAAATATAACTGCATGTCAGAGCTGCTATCTAGAAGAACACCCGGAGGAATTTATGACACTTTCCTAAGAGTATCCTGAATGATTCTCCACTGATTTTTCCTCCCCCCGCCTCCACCCCGAGCCCTGGCTCCGTTTGCAAGTTACAAGGACGCAGCAAACATTCCTTGATCTCTTTGTTCTTCTCTGCCCATGTTGCAAAAGTACCAGCAAGGTGATGTGCCTACCTGGTAATCCATTGATCCTAAGGCTTGCAGCAGCAGGTCTCTTTGCCTTGGAATTTTCCCTTGGAGGATTATTGAAAAACAAGAAAAAATACCCAGAACATCATTATATTGGGGTGACCCAGACCCTTGGCTCTGAAGCCTCCCAGACCCAGAGGTTCAAAGTTAGAAGCACTGGAAACTGTATCATTTGAACCCAGGCCAGGATCCAGAATTACAGCTGAGAAAGCTAAGTAAGAAGGGTTTCATCATCGCTGACTGGTAACGCCCTTAAAAATCAGGCTCTGGAGCTCGTGGTATTGTCTAGTTATGGAGGGATGTTAAGGCACGAGCCAGAAGAATAGGAAAATGAAAGATAGGAGGAGAACGGAAAGTTCACAAAATGTTTCTTTTAGACGCTCTCCATACATCGCTCTTGCCTTGATAGAGACTATGATGGAAGACATGGCGTGTAACAGTTGTTCACTAGCCCTATGTAACAAATATGCCCCTGCCAATCAAAAACTTCAGTTATTACTATTTGGCCCATTTTATAGTGGGAAATGGGATTCTGCTAGTCCCTGTGGCTTTCCAGTGTACGAAGACCCGATGGTTGTCTGTTTGCACCCAACTTGTGACTGCCCTGGGACTCATTGACTTAAATATAATTAAAAGAAAAGAGGCGGGGAGGGTTGTGGGGGTTTTTTCAATCAGTGAAATTTGGCCTTCAGTTCTCTTGGTGCGTGTCTAGGGAAGGCAATGGGGTGATACTGCTATAATTCAATGTGTACTTAATTAATGTGTTGTCTTTTACATCAGAAAGTCATATTCTTAATAATGCTATTTACGTGGACATTGCTGCGCATAGCCATGGTAGGAAGCAATGCCAAGCCACGGGGGTGGAGCACTGCAACTCCTACCAAAAGGCCAGACTGTGCGGAGAGCCAAGAGTGCTTTGAGATCCAGTTAAACCAGGATGAGCCCAGAGACAGAGCTAGTGAGGAGGAGGAGGAAGCAGTGCAGGAACATATCACTGCAGGCTTTTACCAGTACGTATTAATTTTCTTGTTTTTGGACCCTGAAACCAAGTCCAGCGGATGCTTGAGAAGCACCTCCTCCCCTTTTGCTGAAAGGCTGACCTTCACCAGGCAGAGAGAAGAACGTGTCTTCTGATCCACTCAAGGGCTCCAAGTGCAGAGCTCAAGGGGCAAGGGCCTGGAGGGGAGGTCTTCTGGTGGAAAGGCAGGAGGACCAAGAGGTGCCTGAGAAAATCATGATAAAAGCTGTGTTTTGGACTCTATATAACAAAATGTGCACAGAGGAAAAAGATGTTAGAGCATTTTGCAAATGTTAAGCATCCACGACTTTGAACTGAACCTTCAGGTGTTCCTGCTTAAAGGGAGTAACTGATCTTGTTGAAAGAGCTGACACAAGTACCACAGTGCATTGTGGACCAAAACACACAAGTATACCCTGGCATGAACAATTCAATTTGGGGCAGGGGAGTGGTGCAGGTGGGGAAGGAGCCTGTACTATGAGTACCCTCCACCCACCCCTTACTAAAGTGTCAGGCTAGCACAGAGGTTGGCAACGTTTTGGGGCAGAGTGCCAAAAACACCCACAACCTCGACTTGTAAGATGTTGCTGTGCCAGGGGCAGACAGTGGGAGAGCCGTGAGGGTCCCAATTCTTGTTATGGCAGCACAGCCCTGACCCCTTCCCTGCCGTCCAACGCAAGGCACGAGTGCCAAGCAAAATGCCTCTGAGTACCATGCTCTGGCACCCGTGCTGGGGGTTGCTTGCCCCTGGGCTAGCATGTCATGGTACCCATCCACTCTGCTCCAGTGGAAAATGGACTTTCTCCTGAGTCTCCATGGACTCTCTCCATGTGGCCTGCTCTGTGCTTTATGCAGCAGAAGTCAGAGCAGCTCCTTCTGGCTTTAAATGGCTTAGAATTATTTTGGTTTTGTCACCGCTTGGCAATAAACTTTCTTCAAAGGGCTTTGAATGTCAAGGGTAGGAGGGAAGGGCCTCAAGGAACTAGGTATGTCTAGTGTGGAAAAAAGGTGATTAAGCTGAGGGTCACGATAGCAGCTTTCAAATGTTTGGGTGCCTGCCGCAAGGAAGATGGAAGAGATGGTTCTCTCCTCTGCACTGAAACTGTGGCAAAGCCGATTTAGATCAAATCTTAGGGAAAACTCACTAATTGTAAGA